TTCCTCTGGGTCGGAATTGCCCGATGCCGAAATGAGTCCCGGGGATTATAGGCAAAAATTTCCCCCCTGTGAGGTCCCCGGGTACGACTGGGTTGATGGTGAAGTGGCGGCCTACTTCTCCCGTTTTCATGAGAGGGCCGCCGTGATACGCCTTCTTAGCCTTTGCACGTTGGGCCGATGGGAAGGTTGGGACCCTTATCCGATCATGCTTCGACGATGCCGAGCCGAAGGACCTGGGGAGCTCGATCTGGTTTTCCTTGCGAAGCGGGAAGAGCAGGGGGATTTCTTTTACATGTACGAGTGTTTCTTTCGGGAGTTAGGGATGTCGCTTCCTTTTGATGATTTTCAGATGGGGGTCCTTCGTGTATTAAACGTAGCTCCGACCCAGTTGCACCCGAACGCGTGGGCTTATATGCAAGCGTTTCGGGTGTTATGTAAATACCATTACGTAGAGCCGACTGTAGGTTTGTTTTTGCATTTCTTCTGTACACGTCCGTCTAATAAGACGATTAAGTGGTTGTCGCTAATTCGGAACCCCGACCGACCACTGTTGACACCCTTTACGTCTTCCTTTAAGGGCTTCAAGTCAGGGTTTGTGAAGGTAATCATAGACCCTGTAGCCGGCAGAAATTATTTTTACGATGCCGATGGGAAGCCCCTTTTTCCTTTTTATTGGACTCATCAGCCTCGGAAGTACGATGACTTCCCCGAGGATATGATGACCGATGCCGAATTGTCGGCCTTAAGCGTTCTTAAGGGATTGCCGAGGTGCATCCCGTCTCGGTTTCTGGTGCTGCTTCCCAAATCGCCTCGGCCTCGTTTTGAGTTAGAGGGTATGTGTTATTTTATTTCCTTTTGCTCGTGCTTGTTAGGTTGATTTGTGACTTGGTGTGTTTTTGCAGGTTGGATGGCGCAGCAAGGTTTGGGCTTGTCATACCGGCAGTTAATGAGGAGCAGGGCTCCGGCTGGGTCCTCTGCTGAAGATCATCGCAGTGTCGCGATTGATTCCCAACCGCAAGTGATGGAAGCTCCCCAACCGGCGCCCCCTGTTATTGCTCTTCCCGACCCAAAAAGCAAGAGGAGGAAAGACAAAGGGAAGAGAAGAACTGACGCAGCCGGTCCGGAGGCGCCACGGCCGAAGCAGCGCAGGGTTGAAGGGTCTTCGTCGGACTTGGCGGTCCCTTCGGCCATTGTGGCCAAAGACTTTCTGTCTGAAGAGATCCGGCCGTCGAGGATGATGTCTTCGGATTTGCTGTCGGCTCAGGGTCACACGATGCTTGACTCGGCCTCTCCCTCGGCACGATGGGCTATGGCCTGTGAGTTACATGTTCGGGCAACGGCCATTTTTAGGAAGATGGCCTTGGAGCCGATGGGTGATCTTCATAACCTCCAGAAGAGTTTGGAGGATACTAAGGCGGCCCTTCAACAGTCCCTGTCGGCACAAGAGGCGCTTTCCAACGACCAGGCCGCGTCCGATGCTGAGATTGCCCGCTTAAAGGGGGCGTTCGCGGAGATGGAGGCTCGGGCCTTGGCGGCTGAGGAGGCAAGAGTCCGAGAGGCGAAAGAGGCCGCTGCTCGGGAGGAGGAAATGAAAGCCGAGGCCGATACTGTTATGGCCGCTTTTCGGGCCGAATGTGAGGATAAAATTGTGAAGGAGCACGAGGAGGGGTTTTGGCACGCCGTTCGGCAGGCAACCCACTTCGGCGCTTTTCCCTCCGACTTTTCTTTTGAGTTGAGCAAGGACTTTTTCCAGGGAGAGTTCCTGGATTTTGCCGAGGCGCCGGATGACCTTGAGCCGGATAATGCGGCCCCGCCTCGATCGGCCTCCGCCGAAGACCCTGGGACGACTTTGAACAGCGAGGACGACGAGACCGAGCAGACAACCAATGCCGATTAGGTGGCCTTTGCTCTCGTCTTTTTGATACATCTGTTTTGTTGATGATGTATAGGGATAGGGTATACTTTTTGTTGTTCTTTTTTGATTCCTTAGGCCGAAAGAGCCAAATTTGATTGTACCCCCCCGGCCGTTAGTGCCGTTCTTAACTTGAATGAAATTTTAGTTCCTGTTCGGGCTTTCCTTCTACTCTTGCTTATTTACATAGATATTGTACCTTCATATGGACCTGTTTCCATTTTAACAATAACATAGAATTTTCTTAAGCCGAGTGAGGTGTACCTTGGAGTGAGATTGCTCGAAAGCCAGTTAAGATTTCAACCTTGGCCGGACAAGGTTGCTTGGGAGGGAATTGGTGTTCAACCTTTGCCGAGCGAGTGGCTCGGGAGGGCATTTGAGTTTTCATCCTTGGCCGAGCGAATAGCTCGGGAGGGAATTGAATTTTCAACCTTGGCCGAGCGAATAGCTCAGGAGGGAATTGAATTTTCTTGGCCGAGCGAATGGCTCGGGAGGGAATTGGATTTTCAACCTTGGCCGAGCGAATGGCTCGGGAGGGAATTGGATTTCAACCTTGGCTGAGCAAGTGGCTCGGGAGGGGATTTGAATTTTCTTTGCCAACCTGGTTCTACAGGCCTCCATGTTCACCAATGCTTGCTCTCGAGCTTCGTCTACCAAGTCCATCTCAATATTGAGAGTTTCCCGGTTGCTATCCTCGTCAAATTGTGTTCGCCTGAGAGAAGGCTCTCCTACCTCAACTGGTATCATTGCATCTGTGCCGTAGGTTAGCCGAAAGGGGGTCTCCTTGGTTGAACTCTGAGGCGTGCATCGGTATGCCCACAAGATTTCTGGTAGCTGGTCTGGCCATGTTCCTTTAGCCTGTCCGAGACGTCGTTTCAACTCTTTAAGGATAACCTTATTTGCTGCCTCGGCCTGACCATTGGACTGGGGGTGCTCCACCGAGGTCATTCGGTGCTTGATTCCTAATCCGTTCAAAAATTCATTGAAACGTCGATCGGTGAATTGCAGTCCGTTGTCCGTGATCAAGGCGTACGGGATCCCAAACCGGGTAATAACGCTTTTCCAAAAGAATTTTTGTATGTTGCTGGCTGCGATGGTGGCCAATGCCTCCGCTTCGATCCATTTTGTGAAGTGGTCGACGGCTACAACGAGGAACTTGACTTGGCCTTTTGCAGGTGGAAATGGTCCCAGAATGTCCATACCCCAGATGGAGAACGGCCAAGGGGTGGAGATGGAGTGTAACCCCTCGGGGGGTTGGTGATTTAAAGGTCCGTGCTGTTGGCAGGGCTTGCATTGTTGAATGAAATTCGAACAGTCCGCAACCAAGGTTGGCCAATAGTACCCTGCTCGGAGAACCTTGGCTGCTAGGGTTCGGCCTCCCGAATGAGTTCCACATACGCCTTCATGAATTTCTCGCAGCACATAGTGCGCCTGGTCCGGTGTTAAACATTTCAACAGGGGGGTCGAGAACCCTCTTTTGTATAAGTCCCCCGCGATCAGGGTATATCGTGCCGCCGTAATCCTCATCTTTTTTGCCTCCAATGGGTCATCAGGTAATATTCCGGCTGTCAAGTACCCCTTTATTCCTGTCATCCAGTCAGGGCTTTCAGGCTGGACCTGTAAGCACTCTGGTTTGGCGATGCTGGGCTTTGGCAAATCCTGTTGTATCACACTTCGTAAGTGGCTGACTTTCTTGCTGCTGGCTAGCCTGGCCAATTGATCAGCTCTTACGTTGAGTTCCCGAGGCGTATGCTTGACTTGGACATCTTCGAAATCGGCCTTCAGCTTATTGAACGCATGAAAGTATAACAGTAGGGTCGGCTCTTTGATTTGGAAGGCGCCGCTGACCTGCCCTATTACTACTTGTGAGTCACTCCAACATTGTAATTTTGAGATGCCCAAGTCTTTTGCCAGTCGTAGACCTGCCAAAAGGGCTTCATACTCAGCCTGGTTATTGGACGCTTTGAAACCGAAACGAAGTGACTGCTCGACAACTACGTGGCCCGGTCCCTCTAAGATGATACCCGCTCCACTGCCTTGTTGGTTCGACGATCCATCTACATGTAAGGTCCAAAGTTGTGCGTCGGGGATCGCAGTCAACGTGAATTCGTTCAAGAAATCAGCCAAGCTTTGCGCTTTTATGGGCCCTCGTGGTTCGAGTCGGATGTCGAACTGTGACAATTCGACGGACCAGGAGACCATTCGTCCTGCCAATTCGGGTTTTCGCAGAACCTTGGTTATGGGAGTGTCAGTTCGGACGAGCATACGGTGACTTTGAAAGTAGTGTCTGAGGCGTCGAGAGGTGTGGACGAGGGCGAGGACCGTTTTCTCAAGGTGTTGGTATCTGGCTTCGGCATCTTGCAGTACTCGGCTGATGAAATAAATCGGCATCTGCTCCGATTTTTCTTGCACCAAGACGGTGCTGATGGCCTTGTCGGACACTGATATGTACATGATCATGTCCAGCTGGGGGTCGGGCTTAACCAACAACGGCGGGGTAGCGAGTATCGCCTTGAAGCTGTTGAAGGCTGATTCGCACTCGTCGGTCCACTTGAACTTGGTGGCTTTCTTTAGAAGGGACATAATGGGTCATGATTTGTCTGCCATGCAAGGCAGGAACCGAGCCAATGAAGTTATTCGTCCTGCCAAGCGCTGTACTTCTTTGACATTAATCAGACTTCTCATGCTGATGATAGCCTGACACTTGTCAGGGTTCGCCTCTATCCCCCTTTGCGACAACATAAAGCCTAAAAACTTTCCCCCCGCTACTCCGAATGTGCACTTAGTCAGATTCAGTCGCATGTGATGGCGTCGTACTTCGTCAAAGATGGAGCGTAGGTCTCTAATATGGTCGGGTCCAGAGGCAGATTTGATCACCATATCGTCTACGTACACTTCCAGACTTGTCCCAATCTGGTTACGGAAAATCTTGTCCATGAGCCTTTGATAGGTTGCCCCCGCGTTTTTTAAGCCGAATGGCATTACCTTGTAACAATAGTTCGCCGAATCAGTGATGAACGCGGTTTTGGCTTCGTCCGGGGGGTACATGGGTATCTGATTATACCCGGAATAAGCGTCCAGGAAGCTTAGTCTAAAGTGGCCGGTCGCGCCATCGACTAGTGCGTCGATGTGAGGGAGAGGGAACGCGTCCTTAGGGCATGCCTTATTGAGGTCAGTATAGTCAGTGCACATCCGCCACTTGCCGTTCGACTTCTTAACCATTACTACGTTCTAGGACATGCCTTATTGAGGTCGGTATAGTCAGTGCACATCCGCCACTTGCCGTTTGACTTCTTGACCATTACTACGTTGGCTAGCCAGGTGGAGTACCTGACCTCCCGGATGAAACCTGCTTGTAACAACTTGGTTGTCTCCTCTTTGACTGCTCGGGCTCTTTCTCCACCCACTTTCCTCTTCTTCTGGGCAACGGGCTTGGCGTCCTTACACACAGATAGCCGATGGCAATGGAAACTGGGATCAATTCCCGGCATATCGGCGGCAGTCCAAGCGAACAAATCAGCGTACTGTACCAGGACTTGTTTGATCTTACACGCATCCGTTTCGGATAGTTGGGAGCTCAGGAATGTGACCTGTCCCTCTTTCGTCCCGAGTTGAAAAGGAATTGTTGTTTCAATCGGCTCGACCCTGCCCTCGTCTGCCACTCTCGGGTCCAACTCCAAATCATCGACTAGGTCTCGCTGGCTGGTGTCTCCGATGACATTAACATCTCGGGAAGAACTCGGCGTTGGTGGAACTTTTAAACTTGCAAAGTAACACTCTCGAGCCGTCTTCTGGTCTGCGTGGAGGGTGATGATCGCTCCCTCTTCCGAGGGAAATTTCATGGCTAAGTGAGGTGTGGAAACGATGGCCCGGAGTTTGTTTAAGGATGGCCGGCCTAACAAAATGTTGTATGAAGTGTTGGCGTGCACAACCACATATCGGACTTTGATTCTCCGCCTAAGGTGGTCGTCCCCAAAGTAGGTGTACAGGTCGATTGTTCCCCTGGTATCCACTCGTTCACCAGAAAATCCGACTAATGGCTCACCATAAGGTATTAGTTCTTGTTCGGGGATGCCGAGCTGTTCGAATGTTTTCCAATATAGGATGTCTGCCGAGCTTCCTTGATCAACCAACGTCTTCTTAACCACGCAATTGTTGATTTCGACACTGATGACCATTGGGTCATCCTGTATCGGGTCTACCCCTTTGAAGTCTCGGTCGGTAAATGTGATAGGAGGCATGTGAATGGTTGCTCTTCCCACGGCATTTACCGACTTGATAGCTCTCAAGTGCCTTCTTCGGGCGGAGGACGTGCTTCCTCCTCCCGCGAAGCCTCCGGCAATTGTATTTATCACCCTCCTGGGTTGACTTCGTTCAGGCTGCCGGTCACTTCTTTCGGGGGTCCTGCTTCTTTCCCTAGATCGATGCCTTGGGGGTGCTCTATCACTGTTTCCTCTCCTTTCCCGAGAGTTGTGATATCTCCTCCTTCCCGACGGCTGGGTGAAGTTCTGTAGATGGCCAGACTTGACAAGGTCCTCAATGCGGTCTCGGAGAGCCGTGCATTCTTCGGTGGTGTGTCCCCTGTTCCTGTGGAAATGGCATGTCTTGGTTTTATCCGCGTGGGGCGGAGTCATGGCTCGACGTGGGACTGCTAGGATTTCTGTTGCCAGCGCCTGCTCTAACACCCTAGCTCTGGTGGCGTTGAGCGGTGTGTACTGCGTATACCGGGGCCCCCTGTGGGCTCCTTCCCTGTCGGGGACGTCCTTCGGGCGTGGTTTTGGGTTGTGCTCCTTCTCAGCTTCCTTCCTTCCTAGAAAGGAGTCGGACCGGTTCTGGTTTCGGAACTCGGCCGACTCTTCCATCTGCATGTATTTCGTGGCTCTTTGTCGAAGCTCATCCAAGTCTCTAGGTGGTTTTTTGCATAAGCTGTTCACGAACGGGCCTGGTCGCAGTGCTGTGGTGAGGTGGTGCAAGGCCACTGCGGG